CACACACACACACACACTGGAGACGGGCTGTGTTCAGGCCTATGCACCGATAGACGGCGCTTTTGTTTGTAGTGTTCAGAGTTGGCGTTTTGAGGCGAGTCTGTGCTTTTTGTTAAAAAGCAGACTTGCAGCTTATGACTTGATGTAACATGGTATCTGCATATAATATATATATATATAAATATAAATATATATCTGTGCTATCACAGGGGATTCTTTTGTATGCCACTCGTACGCTAAGGGTGGATTTTAAAGTTACTTTTTGAAGACCCTTGAAATATGTGATGGTCTTGTACATCACATGGGGTCGTGACCATGAGGAATGGTTTTCTATAAAATACCATTAAACAGTCATAGCGAAATAAAAAAAAAAGAGCAGCCCTTCGAAGGGTGTTTTTCTTCTGCACTTTAGACTAAAAATGGAGAAACAGGGAGGTGTGTTTGTTCAAGCCATCGTAGACACATCTAATGTTTAAAATGCTCTTAAAGATGAATCAGAATTGATGCAGAAAACGTGCAGTGTTCCGGAGGCTAAATAAGGGTGAATAGTGTCCTGTCTGACTCCTCGGGGTACGTCAAAGTTGAACCAAGCCAACTTCATGGCATTCCAGGTCTCATCTCGCTAATGGTTTGATACACACATGCGTCGTCGGACATTTCAGTGGTTTCGTTCCGAATGTTCCTTGTTTTAGAAAATTTTGTACTGAAGCTAAAGACTATTTTGAAGTTTGCTTTAATACAGTCAGCAGTGATTGGACTGTACCACAAAGACACTATTTCAAATGATGTCTATGACAGTGGAATGGTATTTTATAAGGTTTTGTTTTTAGATAAGCTTTTTACACTGCATTCAAGTGTGTTTGCTATTTTTTGTTCCTACCGAAAGTACTAACGTTAATTCTATCTTTGCTATGTTGGAGAGCCCTTGAAGGTTTTGTACTTCTCAAAACTTTTGTAATTCTGATTTATTTGTAGTTACGTACACGAAATGAACAAAAATATAAAATCTGGATTTAATTGTTGATGTATTATAACACAGAACATGTAAATACCAATTTGCAGATTTGTTTTTTTTGTGTCGTCTTTGCCCTCACCTATGTTGTACTCTCTCTCTCTCACTCACATGGTTGCAGTCCGCAGCCTCCTGATCTGACTGTTGATATCACTCAAGATTTCAAGGTCTAGAATAAAATCTATTTTGATAATACTATTGTGTTTGCTTTTAATTTCCACACTGCTGCACGGACATGGTTTCTTTTATTGAGGGAGTGTTTATGTATGGGAAGCACACATTGGTGTAAACTGTATCATATGTCATGCATACAAAGGACAAACCAAAGTAAATACAACAGGTCTAAATACATCAGTTTTGAGCCACGCTGGCACTGTGGCTCGAGGTGTCGCAGTGTTGGTTTATGCTCCCCAGACCTTTCCTCTACCGCCATCATAAGGTCAAAATGTTGTCCGATACTTTAATAATGATGGAAGGTAAGATAAGGTTTGCCGGTATTCAGCCATACTACCATGTGTTTTGTGGCAAATGCTAGCATGCTAACCTACTAAGATGGTGAACATGGTACACAATACATATGCACGAAGTTCAATGCACTGCTGTTCCTGTAAGTACAGCACCACAGAGCTGCTAGCTTAGATAGTCTTGTTCAAATGATGTGGTAACAGGCAACAACCACCTCTGCTGTTAGACACTGCGTTGTGAGCTTTGGAAAAAGTTCAATAGGCTAAATGTGCTTTTAGCAGCCTTTTTAAATGTCATTTAGATTATAAAGCACTTAGAAGAGACATTAGACAGGAGTTCGCCTAATACGTCTACTTCCTCTTTTTACTTTTCTTCTTATTTTCCCCAGGTTCTTCACTTCACCTCTGTCATTACAGCTGCTGTTGTTCCTGTCTAGAGATGATGATATTCTGCGTGGATCCAGCCCGGAGACTCGGATTATAACACTATGTGGTATTATGGTGTGTAATATTTACTGAGGGAAAAAAGGCGGCCCGTTTACAGAGAAAGTTCCCATCGAGTTTGCACAATCCTGTTTTGCATCCCAGCTCCTGGACTGCTACTTGTTGTTTGTTTTACTCTGTTCAAAAGCCAGCAGCCTCACATGCTCTAACTGTGGCAGCTATAACAACACAGGACAAAGACAAACCACTTGTTTAAAACCACTTGTTTAAAACCATGTGAAACAGTCATGTGTATCGCCAGTTTACACGATGATGATATGGGTGGCGTTACCAAAAGATTGCGCTCTGGAACCTGGTTTCAGAAGTTTGCATTTTCAACGTACCTGCTAACTAAGTGTTAGTTGTTGCCAGGGCATCAAATAGGTTAAATAGATTGTTTGCTTGTGGTTGCTGCTTGGTTGTTAAGGTGATTATAATGCACCATTCATATACTGTGGGACTCCATAATTACCTGATTCTAATCTGTTCCTGTCATCTTTTATATCATAGCTGCAGCTGAATAACACTACAACTGTCTCATAATGTAATTCAGTATTTAAATAACAGTGTTTGTAGAAGCCTGCAGAGATTTTCTATCTTTTACCATATGTTCGAGTTGCATAATTTTTACAGCCAGTATGGAAACAAGGGATCATAACACTTTCCACATGCACCATGTGAATGTTATTGATATTGACAAATACACAACTGTTCTGTTTTTGTAACAACCAAATATGTGTGTAGTTCTGTGTAGTGCGCACATACGCTTTGCATACCTCTTTACACTTTCCTTGGAACGTGATGCATTAGTCATGCACTCAGCAGAACCTGCCTGCTTTGTTCTGCGATCTTCCACATCTGTGACCTCCTGACGAGCATTTCTTCTAATCAGGTCATTCAGTATATTTTTAGGTATTTACTGTGTCAGTCAGCTGCCAAACTCCCAGGTGAAACTCTGGGCAGCTGCACTAAATGAGGTTTGACTATTTGGAGACTTATTTATTTTGTCTGCGCTGAATGGAGAGTAAGTGGAGATGAACCCCAAACAACCCAGATACGGGTAAATGTCAGTCTAAATATAAAGCCAGAAACATCCCACATTTTACAACTACTACTAACATACTTTAAATGGACTGGTTGCACAGCAGACATTTAGAAACGGCTCAGTTCCATTAAGTGTCCCAGTAGCAGTGAAAATGAACCAGCACGCAGAATAGCAGGACCTCCACTAAGTGGAATGCAGCTATTATTAATATAGCCTACCAGTGAAATTCCTGCTATGACATGTCTACATATCTGCTGTGCAACCAGTCCATAGCTACAGTAGTAATGACGAACTCAATTACTAAAACAAAAAAACACGTAAAAAAGGAAAGTGGCAGGTCATTCGACAGGTTGTTCCAGAGTCGTGGCGCCCTGACTCCAAAGGTTAGGCCTCCTCTGGTTTTTAGCCTTGACCTAGGAATTACTAATATACCTCTGCTGGAGGATCTCCAGCTGTATTCAGGCTGTAAGTGGTCAGTAAGTTAGTGAGGGTTAGTTAGTTAGTAGGTTATTTGGGCTAGTGGATTTTGTAAGTAGTCTTGCTGCAGCATTTTGAACTAATTGAAGTTTGGAAAGGTTATTGGAGTACAGCGAGTTGCAGTAGTCTTAGCGGGATGCAATGAAAGCGTGAATGACCTGCAGAGGCGGTAGTTACAAAGAACAAATACTTTGTTGCTATTCTTGAGTAGTTTTTTCACGTATCTGTACTTTACTT